TGTTTTCCAGCAATGCTCCTATTGGATTCAGCCACTGGTCAAAAGACAGTCATCACTATTCAACCAGTGAGGTGAGGAAGGAATGGAAGGAGTTGTCATCCATGATCAGACTTCCTATTGGCCCTGCTTCTTTTTGTACAATTACCCTATTTTATATGGTGAACTCTAGTTGTATTGTCTCAGGGTCATCTTTAACAAGACCCTTGCTGCTTTCTTCAGCTTTGTCAGATGGTGGTTGGCCACTGAGGAGTTGGCTTCCCTGGCCAGTTCAGGGATTTCAGAATCTGGTTTTCTAAGTCATTGGCCAGGGTCAGCTATAAGTGAGCCAAGTTGTCATGGTTTGAGTTGAAAGAGTAGAGTATGTATACTAAGTACTGGCATTTGAATGGATGGTGCTGTATAAACAGCATACTTCAGGGCTACCAAAGGGATCTATGATATTGGTCAAATGTCATACTTGGACTGGTATGCCAGGAGTTTGCCAAGTTGGTCTTCTGGATGCCTTCTGTTATAGACTGTAATAGCATGTTTAGTAGTAGAATATTGTAAAATATCCCACTGTTCTATATCATCTGTATGAATATACTTCTGTCCTATGTCTGACACTAACCATTTGATGTCTTGCCATAAGAATGCAGTTTCCTCCTGGTATAGTTCCAAAAACTCCTCCTCTCTATTCCTCTGTATTTCTTCTTTCAGGGCTTCTTCATCTATTTCTTCCTTTGTGTATTTCATAACTTTCTCCCACTCAAGAGAGATGTTCTGTTTCTGCTTCTCATTGTCTACCTTATCCTCTTCCTTGTTGTCCATCTTGCCCTCACTGTCCTCATTGAGGGAGCAATCAGGCTGGTCATAGATGGGTGGTGTAGAGACTTTGACAGTTGCTGAAGAGCTGATCATCATTCCTTGTGCTTGGCCCAGGCTCATTGGTGTTGGTCTGAGAAGGAGGCTGCTCAAGAGGTCAGTTAATGCTGATCTCAATGTCTCCTTGGTGTCTGCCACACACTCTCTGTTCCTCCAATTCTCAGTGATACTGGCAGAAGTTTTGATAATATTGAAGGTTAAGGAAAAGTGCTACAACTCTTCCTCCCAAGAATCTTCAGAGGCTGTAGTTGGAGATGTGAGCATTGAGAGAGACTCAAAGCCTATAGGCATCAAGTATGAATTCAGAGTGGGAGGAAATGGTGTTGGTATCAGCAATGCTGGAAGTTCTAAGATGAGAGGAATACATGGTGTGTCAGGCAGCCTCACTGAGAGTGATGGTCTCTGCTGATCCTTCCTAAGGGTCTGTGTCTGTCATACTGGGCTCTCTGAAGAGGGAGTCTGGGGTTTTGGTTCAAAGACCATACTAGCTTGGGGATTCCAATCTCCAAGTAACAGCTTCAAGTTCTCATTGTCATCATTGCCACTGATAGTCATACCATGCTTCTTCATGCACAACAAAGGCTCAGTTGGCTGCCTCCTCAGCAGCATTCTGGACTTGTTCTTTGGCTTCTGCCCTGGCCCACTCAGCATAAGTGGCAGCAGTGTAGTAATCATTGAGTTGTTCTTTTGAACTATAGTTTTAGGGGCTTCTTCTTTGGCCAAGCTAGACATGAAGTCTTCCACTCAAGTTGACCAGAGCTGTGAGTCTTTCATTCCATCACTCTGATGGATTCTCATTATTTGACCAGAGGTCAGTGGCCCCATGACTACTATAGTCAGTGTGGATCAATGAGGCTGAGCTTCTGGCTGATGTGGCATAGAGGGAATCATAGTCTGAGTTACATTACATGTCAGAATCCTGGAGCCATCTTAGTAGCATCAAGAGAGTCCCAAGCATGGTCTCCAATCCCATGTTCTGGTGGAGCAGTGGAAGGGTCAGAGAATGGTTTATCATCAAAGAAGTCATCAGAGAGGTCCTGATTCTCTCAGTTCAGAACTGGAGGAAATCCTGGCAGGACTCATAGATTCCTAAAACCCATGAGGCAAGCATTGCTGTTTCAGCTAGTTGTTCTTTAAGGAGGATAGGTGTATCTTTCTTCTTCTTGATTATCTCATATACTTGAGCTGCTAGGCTGAGCTTCTGATATAGCTCTGACCTGAAGTTGGAGAGACTTAGGCAGAGAGAGAGATGTTATGAAAGGAAATATCAGGCATGATATTGCAAAGGATCTGCTGTACTTGTTGGAAGGCCTAATAGTGCCTGACTATCCAAGCAGTTACTGATTGTCAATAAATTTAGCAGTGTTTCAATGATGAAAGCTAAAAGTTTAAAGAAGTTGTCTGTGAGATCAGAAGTTGTAGAGGCTGATAGTGGCATTCAGTTTTCTTTGTGCTTATTATGCATAAAAAAAGAGAAGCTCTAAGCTAATTGTTAAGCTCAAGTGATATATGATCTAAAACACATGATAAGCAGGCACTGTATCATATTTGTACAGTTATGCCTGAGTTCACTATATGTACCTATGTGATATTGTGTTTCAAGGTCTTGCAGTTGGCTCAAAGTAGAATGGTGAAATGTAAACTTTAGCTCAAAGCTGGAAATATACATTGAGAGCCAGCCTACTTATATACTAGTCATCCATCAAGATATAAATATTACTACTAATTGTATCTGTCCAGGTCATTATGCTCCTTGTCCTTGAGCATTGCTACTGTCCACAAAAGAATTGTTGTATATCATCAAGGGGTGTTGTTGCATTGGAGGACAATGACAGACTCAGCTTGTTGTGATGACTAAGCCTGTTCCACAGTTCTAAGCACTGGCTTTAAGCACTCTGACTAAGCATAAATAGGAGTTAAAATGAAGAAAAGATAGGAAAATCATAACACCATGCTGTTGCATAGCATGCAAATGTTGACTGGCTAGTCAATCTAGGATTTTGACTCTGAACATTCCTAAGAATGGGACTTGCCAGCTTAATTCAGACTCTTCAAGCTTTGAAAATATGTTAATGGGTTCCATGAGAATTGCTGTCTTAGTAAGCATGTTGAAGTCTAAGATTGATTCATCTTAGACTTGTACTGGCATTTTATCTGGAATCACACCTGGTTCCAACTTGATAGTTAGTCTCTTAAGAATATTCTGATGATCCAGACTCACAAGCTAGACATGAAATATATAGATATACTGGTGTTCCAGAAAGAAAACTCTGCTACTCAGCACACTCCAGTGATATATTGTCTACAAGTGTCATCTATTCTCCTTGATTAAAGATTACTGATAAAGTTGATTTTTCTATGAAGGATGTGAAGGTGTCTCTTCAGCTTTTGAATAGGTTTCTTCAGGGGAAGCACATTAATCAGAATACATTCAAAGGTGGATGACAACTGGTTCAAACTAACTAAAAAAAGCATAGAAGAAATAGAACAAGAAAAACATACAACATTAAAAAAAAATACAAGCAGGACAGAATATGAAAAGATATATCAAGAAATTGCAGAAAACCCATTAACCTATTTATCTTTGTCTTAGTTCAACTTGAGCCTAGTTCTCTGCCACTGTTCTTCATTAATGTCCTCATGCCTTTGAACATCTTCAATCCTCATGCAAGACCATTTTCCACTGATCCTCTTAGTGGTTTCTGAAAGTCCTCTGTCTTTGAAACTATTGTAGATCTTTTTGAAGAACTTGCCATCAGCTTAAGATTCTTTCAATTGGGTCTAAAGCTTCTTTGCTGATAGAACAAGCTTGGTTTCATCAGGCACATGCTTTAGGCAATTCAAAGAGATTATGATGTCATCTTTTCACCCCCAGTGTTCTTCATTGATCTCAAGGGACAATAATATCAGTGGTCCATAACACAGATAATGAATAAAAATCCATACCATTCAAAATGTCAGAAATTTGGAGTCATAGAATTTGCAGTGTTGAATGTCCTTGCTCAGAATGATATGGAACATCTTGGATTTTGAGGGATTTTGATCCTCAAGGCATTCTCAATCACTATCTGCTTTGGCATAGATCTCTCCACAGATGAACTTCTTTGCCTCCTCAACTGACAAGTCTTCCTCCTCCACAAGAGTGAATATAAACACCTCAAGACTTTGAAGCACATCTGTAGTGTGGATTTTTAGACCAACACCAATGTACATGTGTCCTTCTGTTTTGAGCACCAGCCTGATGAGGTCTTTCATCAGTTTAATGGCAGGTTTGGAGAAGGTGACTTCAATAACAACTGTTGGCCAATTGTAATCTTTCTTCTTATCTCTTCCTCTTCATTCCACAGGCTCCTTGGAATGCCCCTCAGTGAGAGGGAACTGAGCATTGTGGTAGATGGTGAAATTGCCCCTATGCTCAGGCATGGAGGAGAGTTTGTCATGGAATACACTGAGAAAAGCCTTATGAGTGAGGCTGGGAATTGTTAAAATGGCTTTCCCATTCATCAGTTCAAACCTAAGGAAGTTGTCACACAGTCCTTTCTGAAAGACAAAATTACTCACTGGCCTGGAGGAGAGTCCACAACAATTTCATAATTGTCCATGGCCCAGGACTCAAGAGCTAGGATCCAAATCTGTCTCTGCAGAAAAGCCAGGGCCACCCTGCTCAACAAGCTTGAACCATTCTAGGAGTCTTCGGGGGGTATCTTTAGGTGGCCATTTGAAGTCAGAGGAGCTGCTGGAGGGAGATGGATCAACTGAAAGCTTTGCAAAATCTGTTCTGACATTTGTGTCCACGGTCGGGACAATACGATGTTTCACGCCTTCTGTTCGGGAGTGGGTTGGAGCTGATACGTAGGAGCGCAGAGAACTATAGTAATATGAATCGATACCGATGACAGAGGTAAGAAGACAACTAGATACGACGTGCCTCGCCACGCCCCGTCCAAGTAAATCCCAGGTGTCGCTCCGTTTCATTATTCATGAACAGTGTGAAGGTAGAGAGGAGTACTAATAGTATAGATTGTGCGGAATCTCGGACTCGCGAAACAGCCTAAGGCAGTCCCGCTCGGAGATACCCGGCCGATGGTCCCATCGTTTTTTTTGCTCACGACCATGATTCGACTCCTTTGTCGGCCACCACCATCTCGGGTCCCCATCTTCACTCCATACTCCCATTACTCCCACTTGAGTATTAGAAAAATGGCCACCTCATCGATGCCGGAATCCGTAGGCCTATTTTGAATGCAGAAGATGTGGTCTGATTCGCTTTCGATTGCAGAATAAAATGCTCTATGCCCCCTTAGCAGAGATCGATCCAGAGGTGCAGAACATCATAGATAAGGAGACATGGAGGCAGCTTTCTGGGCTGGAGCTCATTGCTTCAGAGGTCGGTTATCTCCCAGAGGAGCAGAGGTTCATGACACTGAAACACGTAACAGAACCTTACCAGTCTGTCTGTCATGGAGGCGAACGGATCCATCTTGACGAACAAGTACTCCGAGGGTCTCCCAGCTGCCCGTTACTATGGCGGTAACGAGTATATTGATGAGCTCGAGAACTTGTGCCGCAAACGAGCACTGAAAGCATTCAACCTCGATCCCACAAAATGGGGTGTAAATGTGCAGCCTTACTCCGGAAGCGTTAGTCATCCACCTTTTTACATTCCGCTTATCGTTAATGATGTTTTTCCATTCTACAGACAGCCAAGTTAGTTAACCATGTCATCATCGGATTTTCTCTGACTCCATCGCAGCTTCGCCGCATTTACCGCCCTCATCCAACCTCAGGATCGTCTCATGGGTCTTGGTCTTCCCGACGGTGGCCATCTCACTCATGGTTATTATGTACGTGTCCATGTGATTCACGTAAAGGGAATTTACCTAACATTCGAAAATATCAGACTGCTAAGAAGAAAATGACCGCGTCTTCCATCTACTTCCAGTCGCTACCTTACGCTATCACTCCCGATACCAACCTTATTGACTACTCCGCTCTCGCAGCACAGGCCAAGGTCTTCAAGCCAAAATTGATTGTCTGCGGTGCCTCTGCATATCCACGCGACTGGGATTATGCTGAGCTTAAGAAGACGGCAGAGAAAGAAGGTGCCTGGCTACTATGTGATATGGCCCATACCAGCGGTCTTGTTGCTGCCCAGGAGCTCAACAGCCCCTTCGATTACTGTGACGTCGTCACTACTACGACGTAGGTCTCTTCTCTCTTTTTTTTGGTTTACGTACTGACCTACGTTACTAGTCACAAAACTCTCCGTGGTCCTCGTGCAGGTTTGATCTTTTTCCGCAAGGACCTCGAGAATGCCAAAGATCTTGAGAAACGCGTCAATGAGGCCGTGTTCCCCGCGTGTCAAGGTGGTCCCCACAACAACGTATGTCCTTTTTTTGTTTCATTTCTCCCGTATTTATCCCTCATCAGACTATCGCCGCTGTCGCCACTGCCCTCCTCCAAGTCGCTCAGCCCGCATTCAAGGATTATGCTAAGCAGGTTATCCTCAATGCTCGTGCCTTCGCGACCTCTCTATCGGAACACGGTTATAAGCTCCAAACTGGGGGAACCGACAACCATCTCGTTCTCTGGGACTTGCGCCCTCTTGGCTTGACTGGCAGCAAGATCGAGAAGGTCTGCGACCTGATGGGCATAACCATTAACAGTCAGCCTTCTTCTCTTTCGGTGTCTTCCGTCCCGGTTGACTGACTCATAACAGAAAACGCCGTCTCTGGCGACGCCTCTGCCCAGGTCCCGGGTGGTATACGTTTGGGCACGTCCGCACTGACGTCACGTAACATGGTCGAGTCTGATATGAAGGTCGTTGCCGACTTCTTGCACCGCGCTGTGCAACTGTCGTTGGTCCTACAGAAGGAGGCTGGAACTAAGATGCTGAAAGACTTTGTTCGGGTTGCTACGACACAGGAGGAGGGCAAGGAGGGCTTCGCCAAAGTCAGGCAGCTGAGGGATGAGGTCCGAGAATTCGCTAAGCGGTGGCCGCTCCCGGGTGTAGACGTCGCGACGTTCAAGAAGCCTATAGGCATTCATGAGGATTGAGGTTGAGATGACGCATGTAGAGAAGATTCAACGTCTGTATTTGTAGTCATTCATTTGTAGCGGGGCATTCAACATCGTCCCAGTGTTTTGTAGTACTAGAGTTCCTACCGTAAATCCATTGCCACTTACCGACTTGGTGTACAACCCTGGAGGACAAATATGAAATTCAAGTTTTTTTTTTAATTTGAAGCTGACACCCACTGATGCCTACAAGGAATTGCCCTAGCCACTGACCGCACGCGATGTTCTGGCCGGATCTTCTGTTCATGGTAACGGACTCGGGTTGATAATTTCTAGGTGCTTCAGTTTCAGGCCCTGAGCAGAAATATCTAGACGATGTCGTCAAGCCTTCTGGGGATATAGCTCACAAATTGGTCTTTCTTCCGTCGTCATCACTGCAGTGGTCGGAAGTCTTTGCTTCTCTGATATATGAGCCACGGAGGGTTGCCCGCTTGCATCTCCTTGTCTCTTTGTGACCTGTTTTTTGGACTTTAGGCTGCATTGCATATTATTGCAGATCCTAAGAGTGCTTTCGTATCTCTGAAAGAGAGAGGCTTGCGCTGTTTATTTCAGCGTAAGCATGTTTCATTCGGATTTACGACATCACTGGCGAGCTTTCGGATCTGAACCTTTTTCCAGTATAGATTCCGTTCTGATCTGAGACTTGGATAGTCGACGGGCTTGAGCAAAGATTGTCGTCCCCGACATCTGCAATCGACTTACTATAATGAATTCCGGAGAAGAACAATTTAAGATATGACATTATCTAATAGGACTCCAGCAAATGACTTTGGTTATGGGGCCTTGTATGGGGTTGTCTCTATGTGGGGCAAGTCTGTGTCGAGCGGCCAGCGGCTACGGTGATTTAATTGGTGTGTGGACTTCCTTTATAGTGCCCACTTTCTTCTCACAATCCGGCACCTTTCCTTTCCATGAAACAGACTGAACGAGCCCCAAATTTTCCAGACAAGTTCTTGAATATGAAGCGAAAAAGTTGACGGCGGGAGTTGTCTAATCTATGAGTATTTGGGAGATATCGTTGAACGGCGTGATTACATAGAGTATATTGTGCCCATATTGTAATGCAGTTCTTCATTTATACCGTAGTAACATGTCAAGCTAAGTTTGCGATCAATGATGGCGGTCTGGAAACAAGATAAACTTAAATCCCGTTCCATGGCGCCACCATATTTCAACAACCTTTCATGAGCTCGAGCTCCGAGCACCTCATTTTCAGAGAAAGACTTCTATAAGGTTATCCTTGCTACGTGGCGATAAATTTCCAAAAATCCAAGTCGGTGCAAATTTCAAGCCGGCCACGAAAGCTCGAGAAATTATTAAGAGAATAAAGTTTAGAGCCATTGATATTACTCCATTTGAGAGGCCAGGGTATTATTTAAGCGTCGTGAGAGTGCGCCCCAATTAAGAACTATCACAAAGAACGATCTGTTGCTGTTGACTTACGGGCATTGCCGAACCCAGAGCCCCATCTTCGACCACGACGTGTAGACTGGTCCTCTATCCTGCGAGGCCTATCGTATTTTACCCTTCCGTCAATCCCGCTCACTCTAGTTACTTATAGCCCCCCAGAAATTTCTTTTCTCTCTCACTCCTTACTCCTTTCTGCATGATGAATCTGGACGGGCCCATATCCGGCTTATCATTCCGGAGCAAATTCATTCAGCTATCCCATGATCTTTCTTCAGTAGATAGCTACGTAGCTGCCGCACACAACCTGTTGGGCTGTTCAACATTTTCCCCCGAAGATTTTCAGGACCATTGTATGAAGGTGAATTCGCTATACTAGTCCTGATTTGAGTTTTACGCTAACTCAGTGCGCTGCTATCATGCAGATCCTCGAACTTGTCGAAGTAAGTTAAACTACCTATTGATTTAAAGTCGAGTGAAACTACGATACGTTCACCTATACCTACTAGTTCCAGTCCATCGCAGGCGAAAAAAAATACTGACTGATGTTTGTCATAGATATCTCGCGACACCCTCTTACGACTGGACGTACAGCTACACAGTTTTTGCTCATGCCCGCCTTACTATCAGCCATTGAAAGAAGCCTACTATGACCTCTTGCGCTTGTTGAAGTCTCGGCGTAAATTATTTCCCTTCAGACTTCGAGGTAAGCTGGTCTGTTAAGGCTTCCAAAAACTTAAGACTGACTAAAAGACTACTCATAGACCGCGTGACGAGACTTACTTTACCGCTTATGACCACGTTCCGTATATGTGCCGGTCTTCACGATCAGGAACAATGCATGCTGAACGAGTTTCGTCTTCAGCCTCGGCCGTCCGCCCCGGCAACATCTTGGAGCGATGAAGCCTTGATGCCGCGTAAGATAACTTCAAAATACTTAAAAATATCTTCTGAAATTCGGCGTAATTTCTGTAGCCCCAGACAAAATTTCACGGCCCCATGATGCCATCTTTAGTTGTGAGTGGACCCCAAGAAAGCCACGCGGTCCACCTATGGCATTGCCGCACGTCACGGAAGACTTAGACCGCTCCGATGAAGAGGGAATTGAAGATAATTCGGAGGAAGAATCATTCCGGCCAGTTTTGCTGAAGCCTATGACAAGGCATTTTGGTATCTTTTGCACCAAGAATTCCTCTATGTTTCGTTTGCATTGATTAGCTCAGTTTTCATATGGATGTTCTTCATATTTTTTTTTTGTTCGTGTCCTGATGTATGTACATTTTCATCTCTTGCTATGCGACGTGGTTTCTTTGGATATTGAGAGGATATCAATCCACAAATAACCCTCCGTCCGTGTCGCGTTCGGGGGATACATGAGTAGGCGTTCGGACCTTTTTCCCAGTCTGAATCCCGTCCAGCTCATCCCTCATATCCATCAACTTCCTCAACAGTCGATTATTGGCTGCCATAGTCTCCTCCCGCTCTAGAATCCGGATGACATTTCCAAGGGAGCTATCAAGCTTTCCCAATGCGTCATTCAGGAAGAATGGGTTTCCAACCAGTGGTTCAGAAGTTCGTTGCACGGGAGGAGTTGTTGCTACATCGACCAGCAAGTAAATCCGCCAGATTTGTGTTCGACGTTTGGAAAGGTACCTTTATTAGGATCAGTGTGGGGAAATACCTAAAGAGGGTTGAGCAGCATAGAAAGCATATTCTGAGGATACCTACCTGTCCCGGGTTCTCTGGGCAAGGGTACGGTGGGAGTCCGGAACTCCTAGTATGAGGATACTTGGCATTGTCCGAGTCTACGTAGAAGGTCAGTTATGAGCAGATATCTAGAATATTCTGATCACCAGTAGGCATGTCAGAAAAATTAATAGCTATGAAGGAATAGTACGGTAGACCACGATGATTTTTTATAAGGCGTTTTGAACTGTAATTAAATAAAATCTGAGACCAGTGACGGTGAGACATCGTACACATTAGTACCGATTCAACGGAGCCACAAGTCAAGCCGAATGATGTATTTTTTTCACTGCGCAGCCAGGAAATTCAAACTTACATGTTGATAAGCTGATCTGCGTAAAATTTAGGTAGACGCTATTACATGAAGCGCTGTGAAAACCAAAGGATGTATCTTGGAGTCATGTCACCTGGACGTAGCACATTATCCTAACACATGACTTGGTACTTCGGAAGGACCGGACCGGACCGGGCCTTGCGAGCGATGCCCTTGGCATCCTTCAAGCCTCATTTCCCGCCTCGACTCAAGAATAATTCCCTACCTTTGGAGTTACTTTAAATCGAGGGTAAATGTCTAATATTGAATAAAATTCCCTTGCCACCAAGTTTGGCAGGCGGTGGAGCATTTTTGACAAGCAAAGTTCCCGTGATGAGCTCGCTCTCCATTGGCACTGTGAAGCTCGACGCTGCCATTCTCTGGTACTATCATGATCGTCAGTGGCCCCGGACCCTTCCCAGTGCCAGACACGTGAATTTGCAGGACGAAGTCAAGTGTAGTCAAGCATTCGTTGTGTATACTATCTCAACGGAGACGTCAAGGCGAGTAATTCAATGGTTCATCCACATGGACACACCCATAATTGTAGTCTCTGATGCCTCTCCAGTCCGGTATGCAGGACTCATATCATATACACTGGCAAGTTGATGCGGGGATGGAAGTCATCGATGCTACACTTTGGGAGAAACTCGAGCGCCGAGACCTAATGAGTTTAAATGTCAGTTACGTCGAACTGACTCACTGATTATAGGATACTTTCGTTGTTGCCTGGCGCTATAGCTATCTGCTACGCGAGGTGTCCCTCGCGTTCCTTGTATAACTTCTTGTCGTCATTTTCTTTCCACCGGGTGATGGGTCAGGTCTCTGCAGATCAAACTTGAACCTTCTCATTCACAGAAGAAGCTACGTCTATTTCATTCATTCGCAAACCCGTGAGCGGAATAACGGCCGCTCTGGAAGACTGGGCCGTATTAGTGTTGAGATTCGGTTTTCACGGCTTTAATATCACATTCTATTTATATATATTTACTGCTTACCTTATACTTTGACATTTTTCGTACCTATCAACTTGACTAGGAACCACCACTGTCCTTACTCTATACAACAAAATATACCTTTCCTTCAAGTCCAATACGCCTCCCTCGGAATTGCCAGCACCTAAATCTCAACAATTAGACCTCTCAGATGATGACTCGAAGTCCTCGCAGTCCTGATAAGCGTCTATTCCGGGTCGGGTGAAAACTCGTATCGAATTCTGTCCGGCATCTGAAACAGTAAAATCCGTCGGCTTGACCTCTTACCGGAGATCCCGATGGATTTTAACAAAGATTCAGTTATCATCATCGTAGTCAAGTTCGTATTTCGACAGAAATGATTCTAGGCGAGAATGCGATCGTGATCGAATCACACTCCGTCAGACTAGACTACATAGCCCTCATACAATGTTGACTTCTGGTGAATGGTGCCATGGTGGTGTACGTACAGCTCTTTCACCAAGCGCGGTTTACATCCGCTCCATGCTCGTGTCCTTGGCGCTGGCCAACCGTACAAGGGTTCCAGCCCGGACCCTGACAACCCGATCGTCTGGCACAAGGATCCTCAGTTGGTGTTTAACGGGCGTTACATCGATGCGGATAGGGCGCGTTTTTTGGATCTGTTCTTTGTACCGATGGGACGAAGCCTATCGGCCGAGGGTCGGCACTGAGACAGAGACAGCACCGGCGGCCCATCTTCATGGACGAAGCGGAGCTCCGTATTGACTGAGATTGTGGATGTCTCGAGATCCATGTAGAGGCCTACAAAAAGGCTCCCAAGTCTTGGAATCCACCTTTACGACGAACAATACTTAACGCCGCTACTTTTAATTCTTCAGAGTGCCTACTCAATCGGTCTTCGCCCTTCTAGCTCCAGCCATGGCCGACGCCACCTCAATCAAATCTAAGGACGTCGAGTCCAATGTCTCTATCGACGTCGATCTGGCACCAAAGGTGTTACGGAAAATCGACTGGAGATTCTTGCCGATCATGTTCATCACGTACAATTTCAACTTCATTGACAAGACTATTCTTTCCAGTGCGTCTGTGTTCGGGCTCAAGACTGATACGGTACGCTGTTTGTTGTCTTTTCTGAAGGGCTATCACTGAAAAAAGAGTAGCATCTAGTGGGCCAGCAATACAGCTGGGTATCCAGCGTCTTCTATTTTGGCTATCTCGTCTGGGCCTATCCTACGACGTATCTAATACAACGACTCCCTGTCGGTAAATACGTCTCGATCAACACCATAATATGGGGCACCCTAGTCGCGCTCACCGCTTCGTGCAAGAACTTTGGTGGTCTCATCACTGTTCGGTTTCTCCTGGGTGTGGCAGAGGCGACGATCACACCTGCGTTTGTGTACGTCACGTCGATGTGGTACACGCGAGATGAGATTCCGATCAAAACTGGGGCGTGGTTCGCAGGAAACTCGTTCGGGGGCTTGGTGGCTTCGTTGGCAGCCTATGGGGTCGGAAGGATCAAGGATCCCTTGTCTCCGTGGCAGTGGTTGTTCATCGTAAGTTGTTAATATCGAATACTGCATTCCTTGTGCTCATTGGCCGTTGTAAGACATTTGGTGTCGCTACAGGCTTGTGGGGAATCATTATCTTGTTAATTCTCCCGGATTCGATAGAGTCGTGTGGGTTTTTGAACGAGGAAGAGAAGAAATGCGCACAGGATAGAGTTATTCTGGCTGGTACGGGCAAATCTTCAAAGGAGACGAGCCAGTGGAAGCGCGAGCAGGTCTTTGAGTGCTTTTTGGATCCAAAGACTTGGTTCTTCTTCGCAATATCTATATGCACCCAGGTACGCTCGTTCTTTTGCTCTGACGACATTTGCTGATGACTACTTGATAACAGATACCAAACTCCGGCACCCAAAACTTTGGTAATCTGGTGCTGGAAGTACGTAATTTTTCCCGTATCCTTAACGCATACTTAACATCGTCTCTCAGGGCTTCGGGTTCACTAACCTCCAGACGACTCTTGTCGGGTTACCTTCGTCTATAATAGCTTTTCTGACTATTCTTACAAGGTACAGTGTACATCTTCCATTAGCAACTTTTGCTTTTGCTGAATCGGGTCTATACATGTAGTGGCTGGATTGCAGGCCGTGTCCGTAACATCTCCACCTTCTTGATAATTCCCATCGTTATTTGCCCCGTCGTTGGGAGCGCTCTCATATATTCCGATGTCAGCAATGGCATCAAGCTCTTCGGCTACTACCTCCTCTCTACGGGTAATGCCTTTTGCTTTTTTCCCTTCCACTACTAAACTTTTGCGCGGTACAGGTCCTGGTGCTCTTCCGCTCTCCATGTCTTTGATGTCTGCCAACTACAAAGGTGTGACCAAGAAGATGACAATGACGGCTCTGTTATTCATTGCGTATTGTACTGGAAACATGTATGTTCCTCTTCTAAACTTTCATGGCACATTCCTCTCATCGTTCTCAGTGCCGGTCCTCAGTTCTTCAAGTCCTCGGAATCGCCTCACTACCCGACAGCGTTCCGGACGATTATGATATGTTACGCCTTGGTAGTCGTGGAAGCGCTGGGGCTAAGGTTTTATCTGAGTTGGGTGAATAGGATGAGGGATATTTCGGAGAAAGATGAAGACGTGAATGACGGAGAACTTGACGAGGATGTGACGGATTTGAAGACTGTGGGGATGAGATACCGATTGTAAGGTTAACTCTTTTTATGGTGTAACTTTCGGAGCTTCCGCTCGTGTTCTTGTGGTTTGCAGGGCTTTTCCTTGGTCAAAATGGAAAGTGATGAAATTTTTACGGTCTGAAAACTAGTACACGAGAGAGGATCCCTGTAATGTCGAGTTCAAGATGCATTCGTCAGGATTCTTTGCTTTCGATCATAGGAAGCAGCGAAGATGCAACATTTTCGCACCAGTCCCGAATGGTACCGTTCGTCTGAGCAGTATCCAAGGATCGGTCGGACCCCGCCGTCCACCAAGGAAACGTGCCTGAAGATATCGACTTTTCTACTTCGACGTGAGCTGCCCGACCTAGTCGTTCTATTTCGTGGGCAAGCTTCCACATAGTACGTATGCACCGCCCTAGCCGGAAAACGTCTATCAGTTTGGCCAGGTCAAAGCGATACTTTTCGGGCAGTTCTGTGACTAAGTCCTGAGAGGGTTCAAGTTTAGTTTCAGAGCATTCCACGGATGGCGATGGATATACCTCGTCGTCTGATCCTGAACAGCAGACAAGCACGATATGCAAGCCGTCCATGAGAAGTCTAGAACAATTGGGGGGGAGAATGCTAACGTGTGCACACCCATCGCCGATTTCATCACTATTTACAAGTGAACCAGGTGTGATTTCTGTCCTTTCAAGCTGAAAATTTTCACATATTCCACTATAAGCAAAGGAACCTCGGAGGGTATCGTTGTCCCTGTATAAATCGAAGAATCCAATGCTACCGAGAGCTCATCGGAAAATTCGAACTGATCTTCATACGTGTACTCGGAGAAAGCTGCATCACCGAAGACACAGTCAGGTCTGAGGGTATGTTGCATCAGGGACTATATCCTGATGAGGTACATCTTTGCTTTAGCTATTATATCCGTCCATGCTGCTGTCAGCTACGAGTTCAGCAAGATAGACCACCTTATCGGACAAGGCTTTTCATCTTTGGTTCCAAACGTGTCTTGAACGCCAGCAAAGAAAGAAGCAGCTCGTTAGGTGTCTTGTATCGAGGCGGTACGGTACGGTCCAGGTCGGCTGAGACATAACGAGTCCGTCTGTGTGAAGCGCGTCCTACACTTGCAGAATTTCGCGTTTGAGCTGGTCAAGAGAATGTTTTTGCCGTTGGGTGAGACACCGTGCACAGTCAAACGTCAAGTCGTCCTATATAAGCAAAGGAAGATTCAAACCAGCGGTAAGGTTGTCAACACGGAGATGAAAGGTAAATAGAATTGTAGTGGATCATAGAACAGAGCCTTGTCTACGTGGTGGATGTAGTATCAAGGACTGGTAGACAGGCTTACTGATGATACTGAAGCTTTGTGCTGCGTTGTTTTAGGTGTCTGAAGTGCCACTGGCCCGAGTCACTATGTCCTAAACGGTATCATTTCATGACAAGTACGTCAACATAAACACTGGGTGGTACTTGGCAGCGGAGTCAGCACAACGTCGGCAGTGGGCACGGCAATGATTCTCAGTCAATGCTGGTGTATATAATGCTCTGCTGTAGCACTCAGTTAAAAAAATGACCATGATCCATGAGTAAAAAGCAATCTACTCTCTGTGGAATTTCCATCTCCTTGGCCCTTGCTGCTTCGTTACTCAAAGAAAGTTATCTCTAACCCCAAACCTCTCACGCGGCCGGCGATCTCAGGCTGTTCGCCCAAAACCAAATTCCATCAATCAAGATGGTGTGCTTGGCAGGCTGAAACCGTTCATTCAGAAACCTGCCATTCGGATTTCCAGTTCTTCCTCAACTCCGAAAGTATGGCACTGTACGTCGCTGGATCAAGGTTGGAGCATACAAATGGCTCCCAGAATGCGATATCTGATGTTCGATTGTCAAACATGGTGAATAAAACCTCCCATGCTGGAGAATTAGGCCGTAGGTGTACTACGCCTCTCATACGTTGGATATCATTAGCCTTGACCAAGACTTTGAACGTGATAATAAGGTTTCTAGGTCTGAACAGTTCATCTGTGGCTCGCAGGAGAATGTCAGAGGAGTACGAGCCCAGAGACGTTGATGTGGTCAAGTGATCGAGATATCCTTGAAAGAGTAGTATGAACTGGTATGTATAATGATGGTTTATGATGGCGTCACTACAGATATAGTCAAACAGGTGTTCAGAAACGACCGTTTCGAAGACGGATGAGGGAAAGACACTGGTAGGCAACTGGAATGTTTTTGCCAGCAGTCGATAGATATGTATCGGTTCGGATGGATCCCCAGTGAACGCAAAGTCTATTAGCTTGTCTATCATCTGGAGGTTTGTTCAACGAAATCTGGATCGCCTAGGCTGAGAGAAGTGCTGAGGGCATCTACAAAAATCTCCCATAAGAATCGCTGATTCATCCAGGTCCAAGCGATATGACATCTTGTGTCAATCGCATACTGTGTCATGGAATACAGGTGCTGGATGATCGTGCGGCATGTATGTCTCTTGTCTGGCTTCCAGACCTGTGCGACCTGTTCCGTCAGGGTCATAACATAAAGTTCAAGATGAACCAAGACATCGCCTAATAGCCCTGCATCTTTGATGTGCCGTGAACGAAGCATTGATAACAATACTTGTAGGGGTATGGGTACGTCGGAACAATATAGCAAAGGACCCTTTGCTCCTGCCTCAGTTCCTACCGTTCGAGAAAAGTGGTAGAGTAACAACTTGCCGAGAAGCGGATACAGACAGGATGAAATAGCAGCAGCGAGGCTGACCTGGGCGTCACATTCCGTATCGCAGATCTCGATATCCGGGAATCCATCGTCTGAATACATTGCAGAAGCACGGTATCCTATAGCAGGCTCCACCCAGCCGAGCGACCAGTATGTCTTTGGAAATGCGTTCAAAAGTTCCCTGTAGAGACTAACAGCGGAGTCTCCATGAAACGGACCACCTTGTGTAAGAACGTTGCAGAGAATGTTGGCCCATATCACTGGCTGCTCCAGTTCCAGCTCCACCTCTTGGTCCGATGACATCGACTTAAGAAGATACGACATCGTATGGACATCGTCACCCCCTGTGTACCTCAACGCAGCAAGAAAAACGGCACGGGTTGAAAGAGGACTGTCTTTGACGAGGCCACACATAACAATCAGGAACAAAGGGTTCATCACTCCCGAACGAGCGGTAAGTCCAAGATGTAGGGGGGCCTGTAAACATCGTTCTAAATCCTTGTCCATGCCCAAACGAACGCCGCCGCCTGCGCGGATGTCGATACAATCTTCGATTTTTTGGCCCAAAGGCTCTGCAATGCTCTCCTCTTGTTTCATCAGCTTCGCCGATTTCAGCGGAAGGGAGCTAATAGATTGCACGGCAGTGCTTTGAACAGTGGGGTTGGGAGACATCGAATGAAGCCATGCCACTGCTTGTACATCTGGGAAGTGACCCATCTCATGGAATGCCATATGTTCAGCATCTTTCAAAGAGATCGCACAAGCTTTGGACAAGAAAAGAATATGGAGAAGACGTGAAGGATGATGCAATGGTATACTGAAAACACCTGGCCGAGGACAAGATAAAGAAATCCAGAAAGCGGTCTTCTGTATGGACAGCGAGGATAGACGAGAGGGAGGAGGTTAGTGCTGGTGTATGCGGAGAAACCGGCAAGTATAATAGCGCTTGTCACGCAACCAATTTCCGCACTCTGAGGGATGAGGAAAATGACTAAGCCAAGGAGGAAGAGACCCAAGGTGGTATGCATGAGCACAGGGAGCAGACCAATGATCATGGGTATATGCCAGTCTTGGAGGCTCATGTAACGAGCATGGCGAACACGTATCCTGTCACGGGGCGTCCCCGATGGCACTGATACATATTGGTGGATCCAATGCTTTGCGAGCGCGGCTACTAAAACTGTGGAAAGGCTGAGTGATAAACTCGCGAACCACAGCCCGTTGACCCATAAGTCGGGTGTCTTCGGATGGAAAGGCATGTAGGGTGTAAAGCCAGGACGGGGAACAAGATCGACAGATATTCCATTGGCCATAGCGCGTTGAACGCCGACGAGCTCAAATAGAAGAGCTGCCGAAACCTCACCATAATCAATCTGGAGGTTTTGGGATGTTTGAACAATAAATGTGGAAACGACGGCAGAGAAGAGCCCGGCCTACAGACCACCATGTCAGAAAGTGATATACGCAGAAGGTAACGCACAGATATAAGAAGTACGCCCAATCCATCACGCTAGTCCTCTACCATTTCCGCATCAAAGATCGCGCATTCGTCTAGATAAGCTCTCTATATCCTTGCAAAAGGCCCCATCTCTTCTCCTTTGGCATCTTTGGGATATTTTTGCTCATAATCGGAGGGATCATGACCTTTGAGTAAAGAAGCATTAGCCAGCAGGATTATCACCAAAGGACTGCAGCTACCTTTTGCCTGTGATTGGGCCTTGAGACCAAATCGACGTTGACTACATCTCCGACGCCAAGGTCCCGAGGAATCTCGGGCTGTCGTATTCCTTGCAGAGGATCCGGAAGCCAGATTGTTGGTGACTGAAGAGCTGGCAGCATTACCAGTTGAGAAAGTAGGGGAATCCATGGATAAAGTGGAAATGTAAAGGCCCACGCGGACACAAAGAAGAGAAGTGTGGGAGGTCACGTACGTTGAACTACGTTCCCACCATCGGAAAGCTTAAACAAGCATGACTGGCTGCTGCCATACCATAGAATGGAGGATTCGATGTCACATAAATTCCTGCTCAATAGATCCGTCCAAACGGATGCTTTCAAAAAGAATGTACTTAAGGCGACTCTTGATTCAGAGGACTCGCCTCCTTAGCGTGCCCCAAGATTATAACGTATTTAGTGCGGAGCGACATGGCATTCGAAGGCTCCAGATCGAGTTCATGTATGAACCTCGAAACAACGCATAAGACCCATTGAGACAGATGTAAAAGCCAAAGGAAGTCGAACCAGGACGTTATTAGTGCTATCAAAGTTAAGTCCCAGATCACAATAATAATAGAAGGACAATGTAAGTATTCACTATGAATGAGTGTAAGTAATAGTTGTGGATGTTATGATGGTATACAGATACCTCAGTCAGGCACAGCGATGGTAGAACAACTGAGGTATGCGGGTAACTACGAGCGAAGTATATAAGTAATTGTAGGGACAGGAGGTTGATATAAAAGGTAAACAATCAAAAGTGAAACATACGGGTATAAGGCACAGATATCTTCTAACACTCCCCCATATCCAAACTATGCCATTGCAACAACATTGAGAGCCTCCAAGTGATGTGCTGAGCAACTGTACCAGGTGGAAAGTTGAATATATTTATTTTTTTCTACCAGGTTAGTTGCTCTATGCCACAGTAAGAGATAATAAGCAAGTAATTACCTGGCAAAGGACCAACTCCCTTGAAGGGCATCACCTCAGTATCCAGTAGAAGCCAGAGTACTAGTGGACCTTGTGATTTAGCAGGAGAGGTTCCCAGGTCCAGGGGACTCATATGATCAGTATGCCAGCAGGGGCTAGGCAGAGTCTGGCTGTCCAATCAGGCTAGCTGTGAATGAGCTCATATCCAACAGCCACATATGAGCTCATACTTGCCAAGCTGTGCAAATGAGCTCATATCTGCTAGAAGATGGGTTTAGCCTACTGGCCAGGCCAGTAAAGTAAGCCCATTAGTCAGTAGATCATAGAGTTAGTCAGATACTGGGATCCAGAAAGTATAAATAATAGTATAGGGATAGGGAAGGCAGGTTTCTGACCCTCCCCCCCCTCTCCCCTGAAATGCTACCAAGCAAACAGTAAGGGTCATGTTAAGAACTTTGAGTCATTGACTCAACCTGAATAGCATTGTGGTGACCAGATCACTTTGTTTGTGTAAGAACCCCAGAAAGCAACCAAAAGTTTGTGTCAGACAGTCAGAACAGATCAGAAACAGTTCAGAGCAGCTCAGTTTTATGTATAAGTTGCAACCAGACACACTGTATCAGTCAAGAAACTGCATCAGGCAGACAGTACAAGTTCAGAACCTGCATCAGACAGACCATTTGAGATAGATTTTGTTGTGTTCAGTGACACAGACAACTTTGTCTCAGTAAACCACAATATACATTGTTGAATTACATTCTATTGCACTCTATCAACATTACATTTCTCTATATACTGAGAATCCAGGTGTTATCATTCCTCCCTCAAACCACACTGTGATTTGGTATTAGTGACTTGGTGGTGTGCACCCTGCACATTGTTGATTCATTTAGTGTCACATTGTTAGAAACATGCTAATCAATTGGGCTTGAGTGCATGTGCAGAGACTAGTGGAGTGCTGTTAAGCCTAAGTTGCATGTGATCTGAACATGTGATAATCTAGCACTGTATTGAGTTCATACAGTCACACTAGAGTTCACTTTGTGTGTCTTTATTGATCTCATGCTTCAAGGCCAAAGATAATCAGCTCGAGATGAAGTGGTAGAAGAATAAACTTTAGCTTGAAGCTGGAGATATACAGCAAGAGCTACACTACTTATATACTGTTCAAGTCTGAGTTAAATATATCCCTACTAATTGTGAGTTCCTACATTATAGTGCTTTTGTCTTTGAGCATCATTACTATCTACAAAAATGTGTTGTCTATCATTGAGGATCATTATTACATCAAAGGATAATAGCAGACTCAGCTTATCATAGTGACTAAGTCTGGTCCCACAGTCCTAAATGCTGGTCTAGGTGCTCTGACTAAGCATAAATAGAGGTTAAATCAAGAAAGAAAAAGAAAAAATTGTAATATTACCCCTTCTTTAAGACTATCATTCTGATAGATCAATTTAGAGAGAGTTCATAATTGTGTATAGCAGTGTCTGCATTCATGTGTTGTTCATTGACTCACTGACTAGATTCAGGGTTATAGCCCTTCCAACTAACCAGGTAGTTGACTGTAGTGTGGATCCCTTCTCCTCATGTGTGTACTTTGCAGAGTCAATGATTGAGAACTTCATCAATTTCATATTGTTTTTTGCTGATGAGTTTGGGTGCTGGCAGTAGTAGTCATTCTTGATTAGAGAATGCCAGAGCAATGAATGGAGTGAGAAGGGTTTCATTAAAAACATTGTGAATTTTTCAGCCAACTGGAAGCTGAAGTTTATAGATGGATGAGCTGACCTTGGCAAGAATAGAGAATGGGCTGGTGCATTTATCAGTGAGTTTCTGTTTTGGGTGAGATAGATGAAGATTGATTGTGTTCAGCCAAATCTTATCATTTATAGAGTAATTATGAGTGAGAGTGTGATGTTTGTCATACTGTTTTTTCATAGAGGATGCTGCTTTTTTAAGGGTGGCATATATTTTATTGTGGATCTTAGTCATTGTGGCAGCAAAGTCAGAGGATGCAGATGTTGTTGTGTGAAGATGTTCAGTGTGTGAGATATTTAGGTGATGGCTGTAGTTTATAAAAAAGAGGGTTTTCTCTATAGCAGAATAGATGTGATTGTTATGTTGAAAAGTGGCTAAGGCTAGCCACTCAACCCAGTTGTCTTAGTGATAACTGATGAATAATCAGAGATATTTTTCAATCTTCTGATTGATTTGCTCTGTTTGACCATTAGTCTGAGAATAATATACTGTAGAGGCATTTTGTTGAATGTTTAGAAGGCAGTATAAGTCATTCAGAAACTTTAAAACAAATTGAAGTTCTTGATCAGAGATGATCACTTGAGGTATGCTATATTTAGCATAAATCTTGTCATGGAGAATCTTGGCCCATTCTTCTAGTATTAGTTTTATTAAGCATGTGATGAGAATGATTACTTTTGAAAATCAATTGATGATTACTAGTATAGTGTTATAACTATTACAGTTGGGTAGTCCAATAACTATGTCCATCAAAATATGAATCTGTAATGACTGAGGAACCTCATTTGGATAAAGTGATGCAGTATATAGTTAAGTTGAGTCTTTTCTTATTGACATGCTTTACACTCTTTCACATACTGCTCTATGTCTTGGCCTATTTTTGGCCACCAGTACTCCTGTAAAACCAGTTTCTTGGTCTTGGCAATCTCTAGATGTTTTGCTGTCATATAGTCATAGCAGATGACAATGATTTCACCTCAAAGTTGCTGTTCCCATAGGATATAGATCCATCTGTTGTAACAGATCAGCCCTTCTTCTCCCAGACAATGAGCAGAGGGCATAGAAGGCAGACAATAGTCACTTATAGAGTGTAGGATTCTTTAAACAGTATTTAAGATGGTAGTATACACTGATATACCCCAGTCTTGAGCTAAGATTTAATACACCTACTAAACTCTCTGACTATCTGGTGTGAATACTCTTGCTCATTACAGCAGACAATCTCTATCAGCTATACCCTTTCATCTTTCTTCACAAAAATCCTAATTGTTTATCTCATCATCCTCATTATACCTTTATATCAAAATCAGACCTAGACTCAGCATCTAGAATCAGACCCTGATGAAAGCAGTGCTAGAGATTTGTAAGTGTTAGTGGAAGCCTAACATTGTCTATCTAACTCATTACCTCTTTCATGAGTTTGTCTATTTGGCTCTATAACTTCTTCATATTGCTATTTATTTTCTAAAGAGCAGTAGTGATCTTCACATTTCCCACAACTCTGCTAGCACTGCTTTCCTGGTTAAATGAGCACACTGCCTTCTTGACCTTACAGCATGCATAAGTTTGACTGCATCCAGCAGTAGTCTGGATGTAGCAGAGAGTATCATTCTGCCTACATCTAATACAATATCCTGAAAGGATAATTAGCAACCTGGTCCTTGAGAAACATATTACTTATATTTTTCAACTACTTTTCTCTCATTCTCCACTGGCACTACCACATTCAACCTCACTCTTTTCCTGGGACTGGCTCTGGTCCCATCCTCAGTATCACTATCAGCTACAAAACTAGTTGACTTTATCTTTTGTTTTCTACTTCTTTCAATAGATCCAGCAGCTCTCTATTTATCTTGTCAAATATTCTCTCTCAGCTGCTCAAGATGGACCTGTGATGCATCTGACATCTCACTTTCTTCACCCTCATATTCTGCCTCAATTTGAGGAGCCTTCACCAAATGTGTCTCAGGTCCAGCTGGATCCAATCTCATTTCAACCAGCATCCTCCTGTGAAGATAATCCATACTCTCCACCAGAGTCTGCATAGGCTCATCTTCCTCTGCTACCTCACTCTCCAGTCATGCTCACTTCTCCACCTCTGCAGCTCTCTATTCTCTCTATTTTTTCAGCCTCTACCAACCTCCATGCATCTTTCTCTGCCCTCAGCCTTTTCTGCTCTTTCTTGGTCTTCTTCTGAGCCAATCTTTCCTGCTCTCTTTGCTTCTCTGCTGCTTTTCTCAAGGCCTCCATTTTTTCTATGCAGATTGTGCACTTCATCTTCACCCTCTCTTTCTGCTTTCCCTTCACCCTCTTCACCTTTCATGATTCATGCCTCTCTACCATCTTAGCATGCTCCTCCTCTGCCATAAGCCAGTCCAACCAGAACTCCATCTTTTCTTCTTCAGAACAGACTAGTGTCAGAGCCTGCACAAAGAGCTCAGAAGTCACTAATAAATGATACACTACAGCAGTCAGTATTTTAGCAAGGCAAGAAAAAAGACAACCAAGCAAGAGATAGTGGTAGTAGCAGATCAAGTTGTAAGATTCTGTTATGTGCATGCTGCCAGTCTCTGTATCATCTCAACTGATCATGAATTCAAACACAAGTCCCACCAGACTCCACCTGTTTCTCATTAACCACCAATTTCATTTTACCATTACTATTTTATATTTGTATTTCACATACTAGTATCTAGACTCTGAACATGGTAGCAAATAGTTGACACTGGAACCCAATAGCCTCTGACTCAGAATTAGCTACCAATAGTATATAAACCACATATGAGCATTGTAAATACTCAGTTTAAATATCAACTCAAATAGCCATCTATACTTCATGCTCACTTCAGCTTCTCTCTACCTCATCTGTCAGATTCTACCCTGAAGGATATTTTTCTTCACCTCTCTGATGGAACTCTATTCTGTCCATTCAAATTCTTAGACCCTGACTTAAGGATGATATTGCCAATAGCTTTATTGATACCCATGCACTCTGCTGGTCTCTACATGTACACTCAAACCCACTTGATTGGCATATTCCTAACAGATTCCTATAGCCACCAACAATTCTTCATGTGGCCCCATCAGGCATCAGGATCTATGCTCTTGAGAGCAAGAATGCTAATAGAGAGATACTGTTACACACATGTTGTCAGCCTCCATATCACTTCAACCAACTACAGATTTAATCACCAAATTCCACCAGACTCCATCTATTTTCCATTAACTATTAATTTTATTTTACCATTATTGTCTCACATCTGTATTTCACATTGTAGTATCTAGACTCTAAAAATGATAGTGAACAATTGACATCAGAACCCAATAGACTCTAACTCAGAATTAACTACCAATAGTATATAAACCATATACAATTGTTGTAATTACTCAGTTTGAATATCAACTTGGATAACCATTTACACTTTGTGCTCACTTCAGCTCCTCTCTATCTCATCTGTCAGATTCTGCTCTAAAGAATGTCTCTCTTTATATATCAGATAGAACTCCATTCTGTCAATCCAGATCCTTAGGCCTCAACTCAAAGGTGACATTGCCAATAGCTTTGTTGATGCCTATGCACTTGTTATAATTTTTTTTTTCTTTCTTGATTTAACCCCTATTTATGCTTAGTCAGAGCATCTAGACCAGCATTTAGGACTGTGGGATCAGGCTTAGTCACTATAATAAGCTGAGTCCACCATTGTCCTTCAATATGATAATGACCCTCAATAATAGACAACACTCTTTTGTAGGTAGTAATGATGCTCAAGGACAAAGAGCACTATAATATGTTCAGATTATATGCAACTTGAGCTTAACATTTAGCTCAAAGCTTATGCTTCTCTTTCTTTATACACATTAGTATAAAGAAAACTGAATGCCACCATCAAACACATCAACTCCTGATCTCACAGACAACTTTTTTAAACTATTAGCTTCTATTATTGGAATGCTTTTAGGTTTGATTGTGATCATCTAACTTTATCAAGGATGATGATCAATAGCCACTTGAATAGTCAGGCACTATCAAGCTTTTCAACAGGTACAACAGATTCTATGCAATGTCACACTCAATCTCCTCTTCCATGATATCCCTATCTCTGCCTGAACTTTCTTTCAGCTCATGTTCGGACTCATACCCAAAGCTGGGCCTAGTGGCTTGAGTTCACAGAATGCTGAAGAAAAAAAAAGACACTGATATCCTCTTAGACCTCAATGAACAAATAACTGAAACAGTGATACTCAGCTCACTGGATTCAGAAATCTGTGAGTACTGACACACTTCCTGCCCATCTCTAATCATGAGAATGAGGATCTCTCTAATAACTTCATTGATGCTAAGCTGTCCTCCAACTCTTCTATCATCTCACTTGAGCATAGAATCAGAGACTGTGTCAGAGACTCTTGATGCCACTAGAGTGGCTCTAGGCTCCTGACACACATCCTCAGACTCTGGCCACAACTCCTTCTATACAATTCCAGAAGAAAGCTCAGCCTCTTCTGATCACACTGACTATGGTAGTCATGGGGCAACTAATCTCTGATCAAACAATAAGAACCCACTGAAGAGATGAGGAGCTAGGCTTCATGCCTGAGTCAATTCAAGAGGAAGGCTCTACATCTAACTTAGCTCTGATAGAGACTCACATGAATATATCAGAACAGAATAAGCTGGTGATGCTGCTGAGTATGCAGTGGCCCAGGCTCAGAATAAGTACAAGGAGATCCAGTATGACAGGCAGTACTATTGCCACCAGCATGAACTTGAGACTATCATATGAGGATCTGCATCTCCAAGTTGGTATAGTCTCTGAACAGAAACTTTGGGCTCTCTCTTCTGAGAGCTCAGCACAGCAACAGAAGCAGACCCCTGAAATAGATTCACAGAAGCCATCACCTCAAGTGAGGCAGCTCAGCAGGACACTTATTTCTCTTCTCTCAGAAATCTTACTATTGCTAATACAAATACCATTCTCTCAGACTCTAAATCCATTCTTGATGCCTATGAGCTTCAAGTCTCTCTCAATGTCCATATCTCTGATCACAGTGTTAGACCCAAGTGTTATGTGAACAGATACATGTGATAAACAGATGTTCCTTCACACTTTGAGAGATCAGCTGAGTTCACTGATGCATATTCTGATCTGTGTGTCACAAGGCTGAAAGAATTAGCTTGAGTATAGAATGATGTAAAGATAAACTTTAGCTCAAAGCTGGAGTTCACTAGTGAGAGTGAGTAGTTTTAAATACTGTATAAGGTCTGCTAATAATACTATGGCTAATTATGTGTTTCTGAGTCCATTGTGCCTATTGTCCTAGGGCATCACTACCATACATAAAAGGTTGATTGTGCATCATCGGACAACATTGTTGTGTTGAAAGACAATGACAGACTTAGCTAATTTGTGACTAAGCTTTGTCCTATAGTCTTAAGTGCTTATTTTAGTGCTCTGACTAAGCATGAATAGAGGTTAAATTGAAGAAAAGAAGGAAAAATTATAATATTACTCCCTCCTTAAGACTATCATCCTGATGGCTTAATTTAGGGATAATTTATAGTTTTATATGGTGTTATCAGCATTCATCAGCTTTTCATTGACCCACTGGTTGGATTCTGGCCCATAACCCTTTCAGCTCACCAGGTAATTGATAGTAGTCATCATACCACCCCTTTTCACCTTGACTTTTCATAGTTTGTAGTTTAAAACCTGATCAACTTTGTAGTATTCTTCATCATCAATAAGCACAGATAGTAGTGGTGGCAGCCACTCTTAGTTGGGGAATGCTGGTACCACATATAGAGTCAGTAATGTCTCATTAAAGACATCATGTATCTTTCAAGTAGAGGGTAGCTGGAGTTTGTAAGTGCTGGCCCCAACTTTAGAGATTACTGAGAAAGGACCAGTGTGCTTATTGACTAACTTGTGCTTTGAATGCAGGAGGTGAAGGTTGATTATGTTAAGCCAAACCTTATCATTTATAGAGTATATGTGTGCAGCATGATGGTGTTTGTCATATTGCCATGTCATAGCAGTTGCAGCCTGCTCAAGGGTGGTTTTGGTCTCTGAGTGGATCTTTGCTATGGTTGTGGCAAAGTCCATAGATGCAGGAGTTGTGGTCTGATGTCATTTGGTTTGTGTGATATTTGGATAATGTCTATAATTGATGAAAAATAGTGTCTTTCCTGTCATAGAGTGAATCCAGTTATTATGTTGGAAGGTGTTACATGCATACCACTGGCCTCCATGTCATCTCAAACCAACCATAAATCTAATCACACTATCCACCAGACTCCAGCTGCTTCCCATTACCTACTAATTTCATTTTATCATTATCATTTCACATCTATATTTCACATTGTAAAATCTAGATCCTGAACTCAGTAGCAAATACTGATACCAGAACCTAATGGAACCCAACTCAGAATTAACTATCATTAGTATATAAAGCCATGTATATCATTGTAACTACTCAGTTCGAATATCAACTTGGATAAGCCAGCTACACTTCACACTCACTTTAACTCCTCCTTACCTCATCCTTTGGATTCTGCTCTGAAGAACATTCTGGTTTGCTTCTCTAACAGAACTCCATTCAGTCCATCCAGATCCTTGGGCTCCAACTCAAGAGTGACATTGCCAATAGCTTTATTGATGCCCATGCACTCTGTCAGACTCCATGCATGCACTCAAGTCCACTCGATTGGCATGTTCCTAACAGTATATTCAAACTCAAACCCTTGAGTCAAAAATTTTATCATGTCTATTACATTTACCAAACCCACAGAAACCAATCCTGAACAAACTCAGCCCACCTATCCAAACATATTTTCTATGGAAGACATTCTGGCCTCTGCTTCAAAGAAACAACCAGGCCTTTTTGAATTGGCCTCCAGTGGAGGACAATCTTTCCATAGGAAAACCTACAATCACTCTAGCTTCACTGCCTGCCAACTTAATTACGATGATTCCCCTAACCCTTTCAATGCCACCAGCATCCCAATCAATGGAGCCCAACAGGCCAGCCTGATGTATGGTGCCTGAACTGACCCTCTAATAGACCTCTTATCCCTGAGCAACATGCATGGGAATTCAGACAGCCCAGACTCAGAGGGCAGAGATGAAGACACTCCTACTCATACTCCTATCTAACAGAAACCAGGTGGTAATCCACTAAACTCTTTTCCAGGAGGACCAGGTAGTCCCAATGACCCAGGCAGCTCTGATGGTCCTGCAGAAAGTAACAATCTAAACCAACAGGACATGTTCCTAGAATTTATGAACCTGTTATGAGGAGTCTCTGCTTCTCTCAACAACTCTAAACCAGCCACTATCCATACCAAGATCAAGGAACTGAAACTATTTGATAGCTCTGACCCTTGCAAACTGAAG